GGCTTTAACCGAAAAAGCTGCTTGTCCAAAGGCTGAGCGCCGAGCAGGAACTTCACAGTTCTGCCTGGATGTTCTGGTTAAGAGCAAAAAAAAAAACAGCTGAACGATAATAACAATTTTTTTGCAAACAGATTGGTGCTAAACCGTTTAAAATTTTATATGCTGTTTCCATATTTGGAAAAAAAACTCTAAAATTCTCAAAAGAAAAACAAGTTATGTTTCTGCACAATCTGACAATAATGGTGTCTCAAAGGCTTGTTGTCCAATATTTTGAGGGCCTGTTTGTAACAAGACTCTACAGGTTTTATTACGGACACACTGGTTTGTCCCCAACATGAAATACAATATGAAATGTGTGAAAAAAAAAACGAGTGCATGCATGAATATCTTGGCCGCTTCCAATGACAAACAAGATCTAACATGTCTAAAACTGACGAAGTTATATCTAACAGTTTGTGTCACTTTTTTATATGTTTCTTGTAGTTGAGGTTAGAATAAAAAAAATCCATGATACTTAAACCCATGTTTTTTCAGTCACTACCCAGAGTTCKTGACCATAGGTGATTGTAGGAACATAGATCAACCAGTGCACAGAGCTTCACCTTGCAGCTCAACTCCCTCTTTATCACAACAGGCCAGCTGGATCATGACACAATGACCAGACTTTACTGTTTTTATTAAAAATTTGTTTTTTCTTTTATTTTGTTCTTCCTACGGTCACCACCAGGTGTCATCCAAGAAAGATGTTAGTTTTTTTTCCCTGGTCAGCAGCTGACAAAGAAAGTTTAAGGAGCTTAGAAATCTTTTTTGCTTGTCCTTCAGACATTGTGGCGTATAAAAAACAGCACCAGTATGTGAACTCTTTGAGGCACTGCAGAAACACAAAACCTCTGCCCATGCAACAGTCTATCAGCGGGGCTCTGCTGATGTCCTCACTGCTACTTGGCCTCAGGTTTACACTAACCACTGSAGAAAACCTGACTGAGACGTGCACAAGTGACACAGATGGACGCTGTGTTGCACAGATTCACAGATTTGAAAATGCTGCACTAGTCTTCCATATTAGAATGACAAACCTAAAGAATTTGACCCCTCAAACACYTATCTTTAAACAATTATTGCAGTAAAACTTAGCACATTTCAAACTGAAAACTGCTGTCAGCGTGAGTTTATGGCTGTAAAAATGTAAAGCAAAAATGCTGATATGCTTCTACTTTATAGCAAGTGGAAGGACAACATATGTATAGTTGTGGTTATAATCAAATAAGGCAACACGTTACTATAGCGGCTAAAACGTCTTGTCAGAATAAACAACTCAGATGTATTGGTGTAAAACCAAAATGCAGCTGAAGTTTTGAATAATTTGAAAGTTTAAATACGAAGAAATGCGTCACAGATTGAGGAAACTTTAGTTAAATCCTTCATCTACAGAGGAAGGGGTTTAAGATTTCACCCTCTGTCCTCTAAAACTATTTCCACCATCCTTGTTACATTTACTCTCTCACCCTCATCCCATTGTTTGAACTTCCTGGCTGCCTTTCAGCCTGTTTGAGTTCAGTCTGTGAGCCGTGCCTCCATAAAACCGTTTGTGTCAAATGAACTTTATTAAACTCGGCACAGCTAGTCTAGCATATTTACCCCATGAAAGAGACTGAGCCGCAAATCTCATCTTGTTACTTATTAATTTTTTTATGTGGCTAATTAAATGTTTTTATGACTGAATTTCTATTTCGCACTTTGCCTTGTTAACATTATCAAAGATGGAGCTTTACAATTAGCAGTAGCGTCCTATATTGTTTACTTGTTACTTTTTAGAAATTTATTCATTTTAAAAACAAATACAAAAAAACATACAATCAAAAATCAAATAAAATGAAAGGCAGCAGAAGAAGAATAAATCTTATAATATCTGCCCCTTTTGTCCCCTAAATAAGTTCAAACAAAAACAACAAAAAAAACGTAAAGAGCAAAGCTAAATTAAAACATCAACTCAAACAACAATTCTTGTACATTCACAATTATGATTTTCCATATTTCTTCAGAAAACTAAGTTTTATCATTCTCTTAAATATATACATAGATCTGGCATGTTTAACATCTTCSTCYAGACCATTCCACAGTCCTGTTCCCTGTAGATTTGACTACACTTGTTAAAACAGGAACTTGTAAAGCAGGGTCATGTAATAAAAAAACGACACAAAGGTAAAACCGTATATCGTAAATGGGTATAATGAATGAAACAACACCATATTTTATCTTCAGGAAAAGTAACTGATGTAAGACTATTAGGACTTTTGTTTCGAAATATAAGTAACTTAATATTATCATTCTACAGTATGAGTCAGCAATAACAATCTGTCACTGTGATGAGGTCATCACGCTCAATCCAGAGGCAGAGCAATATTTTTTACATATGTGTTGCATGCCTGTCTTTTAGCAAATAATAATAATAATAATAATAATTTACGTACACTTGAATAACTTAAGTGAATCAGTGCATGCTCCCATAGCTAATCAAACTGGGTCAACACAAAAATGGCTGTAATTTATTTATTATCATATAGATTTTGAGCTAAAATTTGTTGTGGCTGTAACTGAGAGTCATTTACAACATATGCACTGAGCATTATGGCATGAACATGTACATCACTTTTTTTTTTTTTTACTTGTTCAAGGTTTGACCAAAACAACAAACTTATTTCTCCATGATCTTTGTCTAAAACTCTGGCACAAAAGGTGGTGTGAGGTTTGCTTCAACAAATTCTATGCCTTTAGGTTTTTTTTTTTATTTTATTTTATTTTTCAGCATCTGGCTGAGGTGGAGCAAATGTTTGATAAATTCCCAGAATGATTTATGAGTTCTTCGTAACACGGTGATATTCTAAATCACCAGATTTATAGTGGAAATATAAAGAATAACATGTAAAATATTAAGTGGGGGTAAAAAAAAAAAAAGCAAAACTGTAAATAAGTGAATGTAGTTTCTGTAAATATTGTCTCATCTTTGTGAGATTTTATTTCACCAAAGTGAGAAACATTGCACTTTCTGCCTGCATCGCTCACATAAATGTCAGCAAAATGATTTGCATATGTAGTTTCTATAAAMGCCTCGCAAACAAAGAGTGTGCTAAAGGTGACACACATGACCTGTAACTATCCYCCAGCTGCCACCTCCCTGCAGCTCACAGGAGTCTGCATCAGCCAGAGGCCCTCATGCTGCGGCTGTGTTTGAGCGTCAGGGTGCACAGACCTCCATCCACTTGGTGTAATCAGTGTGYTTACACAAGTGCATCCTGTGCAGCATGAGGAGGAGGTGTTGGGAGCAAAAAGCTTGGGAAGATAGAAAAAAGAAACACAGGTTCGTACTCCTTTTGTCTGTAAATTGTTTATTAATGGTAACWTAATTTAGTCAAGGGAAAAGTCTGATTCATATCTGACTTAGTGATGCGCGCCACAAACATGGAGTTATATAGAACATTCATTTAACACCACAAAATACAAGTCTTTATTTTATTCCAAAACGTTATCTGATCTGATTAGGCTGACTCTTAAATCGTGTTCAAGTTACACGGCCCTTAATGACAGCAAACAAAGGAGGGAACAAAGTCCAGCTGGACACACAGTAAAGCAAATGAGGTGAATGCCCGCGGCTCAGAGAGCAGCTCGTAACACACAGGAACACCCAGCAGAARGGGACGAGGTGTTTGTCAGGGACGATGAATGCTTGATGCTTGATGATAGGATGAAATATGACTTTAGGAGGAATTACAAATGGTGAGTGTGTCTTGTTTTCGTTTTTTTACACACTTTTTAAAGGCGTTTTTAATACTCTTTGCCATAGCTAGGTCATAAATCTTTAGTACAAGAGAAACAATGCTTAGACTGATCTTAAAGCTCATCGTTTTTTTAAGTAAAATATATTTTTAAAGTAAAGCTAGTGTTACCATTAATATACAACTGTTTCGTTAGTTTAATCTTCATTAAAGCATTCTAAAATAAGCCTGTTGATTGAAGATATTTACTTTACTAATGCACTGAAGTATGATGTATGTTTTTTATGTGAATTCTTGTAAAGCATTCACACTACTGAGATGATCCATTTTTCTTKTRTATGCTTTTCGGCACATACCTTGTTCTGTAATTTTTCTGCTATTTCAACAATTCAAATATCAAAAGTTCAAGCTCCGCGGGGCATTCCGGCTGTGATTGCGGTATTTCAGCAATTTATACTTTTTGAGATGTTTGGCCTTTTTAAACATTTTTTGTTCCCATTGAAAATGAATAGAGCGGTCTTCAACAATCTTAAAACAACCTTTAAAATGCTTAAAGTTGTCCTGCACTTTTCACCTTTTGTTCTGGTTCTACTTTTTTAGCTTCTTTGTTATAATTTAGCTTCCTTCGACTTGTTTATTTTTGCTATTTTTAGCTTTTTTCTTCTATATTTTTGCTCTCTTAAGTATTCTGCTAATTTAATTTAATAATTTCAAGCATCCTTCAGTTGTTTTATGTAATTAAAGCTACTTTTGAGCTATTTTTAGCTTAATTCACTTTTTGACATAGTTTTAGCTAATTTTAGCAAACACATTCTCTTTTTGCTTATATTCAGCTTTTTCAGCAACTTTTTAGCTACTTTTCTGCTAATTTGAGCATTCACACATAATTCTCTAGTTCAGGGGTTCTCAAACGTCTGGGGACCCTTTACAAGGGCAAAACAAAAAAAAAAAAATTCCAGGGACCCCCTCATGAACTCCGTGCTGCTATATATATATAAATGTAATTTATTAATTTAGTTTATTATGTTTGTTTTATAAGTTCATTTTTCCCCATGCATTTTTATAAATAAAAACCAAATTAACAATTTTGTGAAATTTTTTTGAGGACACCCAAGATACCCCTCTCTGACCTGTGGGGGTCCTGGGACCCCAGTTTGAGAACCTCTGCTCTAGTTAATACAATTAAAAATCATCTGCAATTATTTTTATGACAAATTAAGTTTAATTTCAGTCTTTACCCTTGTTCTATAAAGGTTTTTATTACACTCATTTCAGAGACTTAATTCAGCCGTTTATTTGCACATATRATCTCCAGGAGAGGAAAAACAAAACGTCTACACATCAGTTASTTTATTGCAGCTGTTCTTGTATCATTTGTTTTGAAACTTCCTGTTTGCAGTTTAGGCAGATGGAGGACAGGATGGTTGGTCTCAGCGGCGATGAGTCTGTCGTCCAATCACGCTCTGAAGCCCCTGATTCCCACCTTCTGCCTGGTGGCCGTGATGATTTATGGCCAAGCTGATAAACTCAGAAACTTTGTGGCAGACATCTTTATCCCACAGTATCGCTACCCGTACCCTGTGGCTCTCTGCTTCTCCCAGGTTGGTTTCCTGGAACTCTTTCTGTACTTATTCACACAATGGAAAAAAACAAAAATAGAGCACCATGCTTTCAACAGAAAAAAGCTTTATTAATAGATGGAAGGTCAAGTTCATTTACATACTGACTCTTTTACGCAAAGTTATTCCTGTCCTGATACCATGCTATTTGCTTATGCTGCAATAACCTTTATGGTAACTCAGGGAAACAAAGGCGAAGTTATTACACCWGCATGTGTACTGAACTATAAGTACCTRTGATAGCTATTAATATGTTTGATTYTGGTGCAAACTTCCCATCATGTATTTTAACTTTATAACTTTAGTAGATTTGCTGTCATTTTGAATGTGTGTGTGCGCATTAAAGGACAGAGCTAAGTTATTGTCAGGCAGCAGTGTGCCGTGACCGAAGGTGTTTTGATAGATGTTTAACCAAACTACTCCACTTTGAACTGTCATGAGACCCTTCAGTCCAAGGGTTGACCATGACTGCGTTTTCTTAATGATTGCCAGGCAAAGTCCACAGGTTCRCACTGACCATCTCCAATCAGCACCAGGTTTTTCTAAATCACAGCAAATGTAGAACATTTTACACAATGTAGCGTGACAGGCACGCAGTTCTGCAGAAGGGATCGAGGCAAAGCCAAAAGATCAAGAGTTCACATGTCCATCGGTGCACTCATCGATGTGACATTGATCACTGTTATATGAGTGGGCGTTTTCCCTTTTATCTATATGCCCCGGATCTACGTCCTCAGTTTCTGTTGTGAAACCTTTGTTTTACRTTTCACAAGAATAAATCGTTCATGAGCACGATGAACTCAAAGGAAATGTCAGGAAAATAACTCAACCAAAGATGAATTGTGAATTATTTTTTTTTGTGTGTGTGTGACAGAGTTCTGTTTTTTATGTGTGTTGAGGAGTGTGCAGAAAGAGAGAGTCTAAATGCATTGTGAAACTAACAATTAAAATATACAAAACAGTTAACAGATTAAGTATCGAAGAAATTTTTATAGCTAGCTTATGTCTATTTTCAAATAAGACAACATGCATTGCAACTATATAATTGGTGTTATTAAAGGTGTTTAGGGTTATACAAGTTCACGCATTCTCATAGCACCCCGCAGGTGCAACATTTATCAGGGTCATGCTAACTGCTGATAAGATTCCTAGTGTATTAACGTTGGCTCGTCTTCTCCAGGTCCTGGTTTCCCTCGTGTTTCTAAATCTCCTCCACGCCCTGGGCCTGGTGCCGCTCAAACCTTACTCCCGGCYTCTGGGTGAGAGGCTGCTGCTGCCTGCCATCTGTAACGGTGTGCAGGCCGTGCTGGTTCTGTGGGTCAAAGGCAGCAGCTCGTGCGCCGGCCTCTTCCTCTTCACCGTTCCCCTGCTGCCCCTGCTAACCGTGGGCTTTAGCTTCGCCCTGAGGCTGGCGTCCCCACCGTCGACCCACTCCGTCGTTCTGGTTTCCRTGCTGAGCTTGATGTTTGTCGTTATCACAGGTAAACTTTAATGTGCAAAGAGGTTTTAAAAAAAAAACATAAGAGCTCATTTTATATCAGCATTTCCTGTCTTTTTTTCCCCTTTCACAGCATCCAAGGAAGTACCATGTATTGAGCCTTTGGAGTATTTGTACGCACCCCTAGCTTTAATCCTCCAGGGTATTTCTCTGATTGCTTTGGCCAAAGTGTCTGAAGCTGAGCGGCATCAAGCTCCTGAAGCCCAAGCCTCCGCTTTTGACATCTACCACAGCCAGCTGGTCAACCAGATTGGGGTGCTGGGCCTCTTGTGGCTGCTGCACCCGGACAATCCCTGGCAGGTGCTGAGGCTGAGCAGCTGGAGGAACCTGCTCTTCCACGGATACCTGCTGGCCATTCTCCTGCTGGGGATGGTGCTCAACTTTCTGGTCTGCGTTTCGGCTCTTTGCGTGTCACCGCTCGCCGCCGCGCTGCTTTACTCGGCCAGACACGTAGTTCAGCCRTTCCTGCAGCTCCTGTAGTTTGGGGGATTGTTTTGGGTGGGGAGTTCTCACAAAGTTTGCACACTTGTGTCTTAAGCTCTCCACCACTGGGTTGAAAACTAAAAAAAAAAAATCAGCTGGACTGTTAAGATAAATATTGAACATATTAAAGGGGCAATATCATGTAAAATCAACTTTTTTGAGATTTATATCATGTTATAATGTTATACTATCATAAAAAACACGCCCACCTCCCCACCCGCTGCCCATGACTCCTGCAGGCTCTCGGGAGTAACAAAAGAAACAAGTGAAAGTGAAACTTTAACTTTCTTATGCTCTTAACATTACTTCTCACTCAGTGAAGCTCTTTTCAGATTCAAAATACCTTTGAGGAAATGTATTTTCAGATGCCAAGTAAACTGCAACATAGCGCATGCGCGACACCTGCAGCC